CAAAAAAATGGCGGATTTCGTCCTTTGCCGCTGAGATTTACCGAAATTGACCGCTTTTCCGAAAATTTCACAATTTCCCACTCCCTCCTGAGGAAAGAGTGAGGTAAATGTATGTGTGTATTTGGGATTCGGCAAGCAATTTTTGATGAAAATCACGATAAAACCTACAATTCGTAACAGCGAGTCAACTAGCTTTCCAGTTATCGGCTCCTACGAGGATGTATTTATAACTATCGACGAAAGAGCTATATGTCGGCTACACATCTATGAATGCAGATATGCGTCGTTTTCTTACCAGCGTCAAACTTGTTTGATCGATTAAACTCTTTAGTCTATACAAAAAAGTATATCATAGTTCATCTCCACAGTGGTTCACGAGAGAGAAGTTAGCTTATTTTTATCATTGCTATTTTGCTTCTTTTTACTTGTTTCTTTAAAAAAGTAAATATTAAATCTCTGGATATTTACGTATTTTCTGTAATTGAGTTTCATATTAAATTTCAAAAAGACTCAAGTCTGCATAGGTTTGGTAAATGAAAACAAACAATATTGTATAGAAATTACTTTAAGTAACCTTTTGTGATGTTCTGAAGTGCAACTGCATCAAATACTTGTAGCACATTTTGATTTTGTTGTATTGATATATAAATTGGGCAAAATGCAAATAATCATCAAAACACTTATGCTTCCAATGGTGTTTATAATTCATTTTTAGTTTTAATACTTCTACCCTTCTTTTTCACTTTGTTTTGTTTTTCCTATATTTTCAATATAAGTGCACAATTTGAATGATTAACACAGTTTTCACTTCAATAATAAATTTCATAAGCAGTTGGTAGTGCATTTTGTTCTCTGAGTATCCACATTTGGTGTTTTCTTCATACATGAATGATGAAATGCATATGGATATGTCATAACAAGGCAATAAAACCAAATGAATTAAATACCTATAGTGTACTTTTATGCTAGAAGCTTAACAGCTTTCTAGAAATTATAAAGTTATTGGATTATATTACCTCTATATCATCAATCTCATGAAAAGAAATAAGAAGCAAAATATTTGTAGAAAAGCTTTGAAAAGTGAAAACATTTATTTAAAAAGCAATGATGCATATGATAAATCCCCATTCTGTACTCTAATAGGTAAATAAGCTCAAACTGTTTCTTAAAGAAATATAAGAAATATATAAGAAATATACAGTACAGTAAATTTAAAGGTTTCATCACTGAATCTTTAATGCTTCAGTATAGTGCATTAGATATTAGTAACATTTAAACAACACTCAACTAAAATATTTTGATAAAGATATGACATGATTTAAACATTATGTTATATAAAACCCAATGGCTTATTCAGTTTAATGCTTCACATCTGCATCAAGTCATCATCAATCTCAGTACAAATGTTTACATAGACACAAACTTTATGGCCTTTCCATTTTATATGTTGTGAATTGACATTTAATTAAGCATCAAAACACACAACCTTCTTGCCATCTTTTTTTGGTTCATGAACTTCAACTTCAAAGCATTCAAGGCATCATTAGTGAATCCATTGTCTCCATCCATAGAATTTGACCATGATCAAATTAAATAACTCTGGATAAGGCAGACAATAAATCAATTATCTTTACAGCATTATCATTTTTTTAAGACTCTGCCTGATCAATAACATCTTCCAGTCATCTTTACTTCTTGGTCTTCCCTGCATGTTGTCAGCAAATACAACATAACAAGCTCTGCTCCAAATCATGGGTACTGTTGGGGCTGATCATTTCTTCTTGATACTTTTCACAGAGCAAAATGTGTGCAGGGTCTTTTTTGCTTTAGGGAAACTATTTTGCAAATAGATGGGTAAATTTACGACTTCATGCATTAACAAATGACAGAAAAGTATACAGAATTTTATAAACAAAAACAGGAAAACATCAGTATATTTGGCGTTCAAGTCAGTCTTAAAAAATACGATCTTTAATATGTATTTTATGGCTTTTCAAGTGCATGTATAATTGCTTTTCAATCGTTGACGGACTAACAAAACAAACAACTACCTCACCTGTGGGAAGCGATATGTACCTTTTTGTGGAAACTACGACATCCAACAATTGAACGATTGAAGTGTTGGCATTATAAAGAAATGCCAAAAAGAATCGTCACAGAATATGGAACTAACGATATCCATATTCTGTGATATCGTGTTTGTTTTTGAAAAATTCTTTATAATTTACTATAGACACCAGGGGGAGGTCGAGAATATTATTTTTCTGCAAAGCGATCATTTCAGCGGAAATACGTCCTTTGGCCGCCATTTTTTTGGCGACCTCGCCCCAGTAAAGATAGCCGCTCCAGTTATTATAGAACTCAATGGATGTAATAGAGAGCTTAAGCAACAACGTTTTATCCATTGAGTTCTATAATAACTGGAGCGGCTATCTCAAGTGCGGCCTTAGATATCGGATGTTGTAAAAAAAATGGCGGATTTCGTCCGTTGCCGCTGAGATTTACCGAAAATGACCGCTTTTCCGAAAATTTCACAATTTCCCACTCCCTCCTGAGGAAAGAGTGAGGAAAATGTATGTATTTGGGATTCGGCAAGCAATTTTTGATGAAAATCAAGGTAAAACCTTAAATTCATAACAGCGAGTCAACTGTGGTTGTCAGTTATCTGCTCCTACGAGGATGCATTTATAACTATCGACGAAAGACCTATATGTCGGCTACACATGTATGAATGCAGATGTGCGTCGTTTTCTTACCAGCGTCAAACTTGTTTGATTGATTAAACTCTTTAGTCTATACAAAAAAGTATATCATAGTTCATCTCCACGGTTCACGAGAGAGAAGTTAGCTTATTTTTCATCATTGTTATTTTGCTTCTTTTCATGCAATGGGTAATGGCTTTTCGCCACAATTGTAGGATTTTTACTTGTTTCTTTAAAAAAGTAAATATTAAATCTCTGGATATTTACGGATTTTCTGTAATTGAGTTTCATATGAAATTTCAAAAAGACTCAAGTCTGCATAGGTTTGGTAAATGAAAACAAACTATATTGTATAGAAATTACTTTAAGTAACCTTTTTGTGATGTTCTGAAGTGCAACTGCATCAAATACTTGTAAAGTTGTAGCACATTTTTATTTTGTTGTATTGATATATGAATTGGGCAAAATGCAAATAATCATCAAAACTCTTATTCTTCCAATGGTGTTTATAATTCATTTGTAGTTTTAATACTCCTACCTTTCTTTTTCACTTTGTTTTGTTTTTCCTATATTTGCAATATAAGTACACAATTTGAATGATTAACACAGTTTTCACCTCAATAATAAATGTCATAAGCAGTTGGTAGTGCATTTTGTTCTCTGAGTATCCACATCTGGTGTTTTGTTCACACAAGAATGATGAAGTGCAAGTAGATATGTCATAGCAAGGCAATAAAACCAAATGAATTACATACCTATAGTGTACTTTTATGCTAGAAGCTTAAAAGCCTTTTAGAAATTAGAATATTATTGTATTATATTACCTCTATATCATCAATCTCATGATAAGAAATAAGAAGCAAAAATTGTAGAAAAGCTTTGAAAAGTGAAAACTTTTCTTTAAAAAAGCAATAATGCATATGATAAATCTCCATTCTGTACTCTAATAGGTAAATAAGCTCACACTGTTTCTTAAAAAAATATAAGAAATATATAAGAAATATACAGTACAGTAACTTTAAAGGTTTCATCACTGAATCTTTAATGCTTCAGTATAGTGCATTAGATATTAGTAACATTCAAACAACACTCAACTAAAATATTTTGATAAAGATATGACATGATTTAAACATTAAGTTACATAAAACCCAATGGCTTATACAGTTTGAAGCTTCACATCTGCATTGAGTCATCATCAATCTCAGTACAAATGTTTACATAGACACAAACTTTATGGCCTTCTATTTTACATGTTTGTGAATTGACATTTCATTAAGCATCAAACACACACAACCTTGCCATCTTTCTTTGGATCATGAACTTTAACTTCAAAGCATTCAAGGCATCCTTAGTGAATCCATTGTCTCCATCCATAGAATTTAACCATGATCAAATTAAATAACTCTGGATAGAGCAGACAATAAATCAATTATCTTTACAGCATTATCATTTTTTAAGACTCTGCCTGGTCAATAACATCTTCCAGTCATCTTTACTCCTTGATCTTCCCTGCATGTTGTCAGCAAATAGAACATAACAAGCTCTGCTTCAAATCATGGGTACCGTTGGGGATAATCATTTCTTTTTGATACTTACTCACAGAGCAAAATGTGTGCAGGGTCGTTTTTGCTTTAGGGAAACTATTTTGCAAATAAATGGGTAAATTTACGATTTCATGCATTAACAAATGACAGAAAAGTATGCAGAATTTTATAAACAAAAACAGGAAAACATCAGTATATTTGGCGTTCAAGTCAGTCTTACAAAATACGATCTGTAATATGTATTTTATGGCTTTTCAAGTGCATGTATAATTGCTATTCAATCGTTGACGGACTAACAAAAGAAAGAACTATCTCACCTGTGAGAAGCGATATGTTCCTTTTTGTGGAAACTACGACATCCAACAATTGAACGATTGAAGTGTTGGCATTATAAAAGAAATGCCAAAAAAGATATCGCAACAGAATATGGAACTAACGATATCCATATTCTGTGATATCATGTTTGTTTTTGAAAAATTCTTTATAATTTACTATAGACACCAGGGGGAGGTCGAGAATATTATTTTTCTGCAAAGCGATCATTTCAGCGGAAATACGTCCGTTGGCCGCCATTTTTTTGGCATCTCGCCCCAGTAAAGTTAGCCGCTCCAGTTATTATAGAACTCAATGGTTTTATCCGACAACGGCGTCGTGAGAAATCGCAGAAGACTGGGACGAGCATGACGTTCCCGCGTATATTTAAAACAGTTAAGGCTGCTTTCCACTGTTGCGTTTTTCAACGCGCGTACCCTTACGTTTCCGTACGTATCCCCCAAGCGCGTAAACGCACAAGTTGAGCACAACTTAACTTTTACGCAGCAAAATTGAAAAACGCGAGCAATTATCCAATGAAAATGAATTTACAGATCACGTGCTTTACAATGAAGCATGCTTTTGCCAATTGATTTACAAGTTGAAAAAAGATGGGAAAATATACAAAAGTTGAGGAGAAACTTATTGAAGAAATTGAAAAATACCCAGCGCTTTGGAATACAAAAGACACTAACTATAAGAACAAAAATATTAAGGAAAATGCGTGGCAAATAGTGACTGATGCTGTGAATGCAGCTTGTCAATCAACGTATTCAGGTAATATAAATGCATATGTTGTGTTGTGTTGTAATAAACGAAGTGTATTCTTAAATATTTTTTGACCCAGTAAACGACTACAGAGACAGAATTTGGAAAAACCTACGCGATTCATATGTCCGTGTGTTAAGTGGAAATGGGAAAAAAAGTGGAGCAGGTGTGGATGAAATTCCACATTATCCATACCTTTTGGCAATGTCATTTCTGAAACCTTATGTTAATATTCGAACAAAGAATTCGGACAGCAATTTCCAACCAGTTGTTCTTTCAAGTCCATGCCAAGATCCACTTACCATCACATCTGAACCTTCTACTGATGATTTAACGGTTGGTATTGAGGCATTTTCTCAAGAATCTTTCCCTTCGTTTGAGATTATTGAAAACGTTCAAAATGTTGCTTCAAAACAACCAAGTAAGAAAAGGTCTTATGCAGCAATGTCACAAAAGCAACTTGATCGGGCCTTGGATGTAAAAATCATGGAATATATATCTGGTGGTGAGAAATCCTTGCAAAATCAATCAGCTATGGTAACTATAGAAGATGCATTTGGTAAAAGTGTTGCTGCTCAGCTACATTTGTTGGATAAAGAAGCAAAAGTAAGGCAATGAGTAAAATTCAAATTGTTTTAAGTGAAGCAATCTCTTCAATGTCAACAAACAGTTAGCATGAGAAGGATGTAAAGTAAAATGAAGTGGAAAACTTAAGTTATTGAACTAACTTTCAAGTTACTTAGAAAAGTCGTTGATGTTTGTAAGAAACAGATTATTCTTTGTTCAGTTGAAACATACATTTGCTAATTAAATAAATACAACTTATTAATAAGATGATATTATAAATGTAAAATTGTTTTACAGAAACAGGTTTATTTTTCTTGTCTACCATTATTTTGCACATACGCATATTGCCAAGGTACTTCCCCTTCTGGTGAGCAGAAATAATTTGTCAGTAAATTTTGCACAGATTTGGCATTTCGTGAATAGTTATTGCTTCCTTGTCGTGAAATTTGTTGCAGACCCGTGTCTCCTTCTGTCAAAGATCGCCATCCTCCTGGCAGGTTCTGTCCATACCTATAAAAATTTCTTTAGTTATAACATTTTAGGTTATCGAATACTGTGGCAATTTCATTTAGTTGTATTATCATGCACATTTCATATAGTGACTAGTGGTAGATGCTTAAGATGATAAGACCATAACCAACTGACTTAAAATTAGATACAGGCATTCAAAACTTGCATATACTATAGTAACTATAAGATAAAATATACTAAGAGAAAAAAAACATCATTTTATAAGCTCAAGATTTAAGTTATTTTAACCGGAGAAAATAGCAATTATACCTGTCTTCTGTGTCAACAAATCCAGCTGGGCAATACCTTTTTGATGAATTAGGAATACCGAATTCTTCTAACATCAGGTAATTGTGAAGTGCACAGACTGCTTTAGTTATACTTGCCACCTTTTTAGCTGAAGCCATTATAGGTCTTCTTAGCACTCTCCACCTAGCTGCAGTGATTCCAAATGCATTCTCAACAACTCTCCTTGCTCGTGACAGACGGTAATTGAATATTTTGAGCTTTTTATCAAGAAATTTTCCTGGGTAGGGTTTCATCATCCATGGTTTAAGGGGAATGCATCATCAGCAGTGAATAAATATGGGCAAACTTCTGTTGGTTTATGTGGAAGGGGATCTGCAAATAGTAACTTTAAACAGCCATCTTCAATGGCTCTTTAAAATTTAGACTCACCAAAAACATCTTCATCACCATTTCTGCCTGAACTGCCAATTTCCACTAGAGTAAACAAATACCTAGCATCACAAACTGCCAACAGAACAATGCTATGTGTTTCTACATGGAAATATAAAATTGTTAAAAAATCATACTCGCTTAATCACAATATTCACAAAGATGCAGTTTTACTTGACTTGTCCAACATTTAAGCAGCAAATTTACAATGTATATCGTTATCTAAGAACTCTTATTTACCTTTATAGTTAAAAAATGACGAACCTGCCCAAGGGGGACATTGTATGACTACATGTTTGCCATCAATGGTACCGCAACACATTGCGAAGTTCCACAACTGCCAAAAATCTGTTGCGATTTTTGTCCATTCGCTTGTTGTCGTTGGAGGCTTGATAAACGGCTGCAACGCAGACCACAAAGCTTCGGAGGACTCCTCTACGATTTTGGTCACAGTAACATGGCCAAGTCAAAAACTGAATGCTATGCTTTGTTGAGAGTCGCCTGTTGCTAAAAAGCGAAGAGTAACAGCGAGGCGTTCTTCAGGACTCACAGGCTCGCGGTATAAAGAATTCTTTTTCAAGTATGGCCCAACCAGACCAAGAAGTAAATCAAACCGCGAAGGGGTCATCCCAAAGTATTGAGAAAATGATTCAGGATCATTTAACCGCATTTCTTGAATGAGCCGATGGTATTCCCCCAGTTCTTTTCGCCGCTTTAAAATATCTTTAATTTTTTTGTATTTATTCCTTCGTTTTCGTCTTTGGCGAAGCAAAAGTAGAATTGCTAATTTTCGCTCCTCTTTCGACGCCATTTTGAATTGCAGCACGCATTAAATTTATGCACAACGCAAAACGCAGCACTGGAGATTAAAAATCCGTGCGTTTTTATCTATGGATGTACGCACGGAAAAAAAACGCAACAGTGGAAAGCAGCCTTTAAGCAAAGTTCGTAATAGAAAGCGGCGGTAGAAAGTGAACTCTTTTTCATGTCTTCGTTTAAAACAATACGAAACTTTTGTCTTGTGCTTTTTGAAGAAGGTTACATTACAGAATATGAATTGATCATATTGTACAAGGCATATAAATCAAGGAACCCAGAGCTTCCATTCAAAAATTATGAGCCATTTTGTTTAGATAATCTAAGTGAGGATAAATGTAAAGTAGAATTCCGAGCCAACAAACACGATTTGATTTTCCTCCAACAAAATCTTAGAATCCCTGAAATAGTCAAGTGTCCACAAAGGACAACATGTTTAGGACTGTAAGGGCTATGCATTCTTTTAAATCGTCTTGCTTACCCTTGTCGATTTTCAGACATGATTGGCAGATTTGGGCGACCAGTTGCTGAGTTGTGTATGATTGCAAATACCATCACTGACTTTATTTATAATTATCATAAGCAAAAAATTACAGAATGGAACCATGATCTTTTAAGCCCAGAATATCTACAGGTTTATGCCAATGCCATCCATGAAAAAGGAGCACCTTATGAAAATTGCTTTGGCTTTATTGATGGAACAGTCAGACCAATTTCACGGCCAACAAAACATCAGCGAATTGTTTACAATGGGCATAAAAGAGTTCACTCTTTGAAGTTCCAGTGTGTGGCATTGCCAAATGGTTTGATTGCACATATTTTTGGTCCAGTTGGTATGCTTATATTATTTAAATGAAAATATTATTGTAAACACTATATTGTACAAGCAAAAATAGTCTATAACTCAGGCAAATACTTTCTATATTACAGAAGGAAAAAAACATGATGCTGGTATGCTGGCTGACTCAAACTTCCTTCAAGACCTGGAACAAAATGCTTTTTCTGTGGATGGGAGACCATTATGCATATATGGGGATCCCGCTTATCCACAGAGGATTCATCTACAAGCTTCTTTTCGGCATGGGGTAATCACAGACAGAATGAAAGAATTCAACAAGCAAATGAGTTCAGTTAGAGTGTCTGTGGAATGGTTTGGAGATGTGATCAACTCATTCCGGTTCATGGACTTCAAAAAAAACCTCAAAATAGGTCTAAGTAGTGTTGGGAAAGCATATATTGTCTGTGCATTGTTAAGAAATTCACTCACTTGCATGTATGGAAATATAACATCCAAGTTTTTTCAGTTAGATCCTTCAACCTTGGAGAATTACTTTATAACTAATTAATGAATGCCAAAATGACTCATTATTAAACACACAAACAATTAGCAAGTATGTATGTAAATACTGACAAGTGTAAGTGAGAAAGTTATTATAATTCAAATAACAAAACATTAAAAGTTCATAGTTACACAGATTGCTAAAACACAACAGTTAAGAATTCTTTCCTTGTAAGTGACAACACAATCTTACTTGGTTGTGAACCTCTAAATAATGTCAAGAAATGCTGTTGACAATTGCTGTTGTTGCTGAAGAAGTAAAGCTTGGCTCTCCATCATTTTTAGATTTTGTTGTTGCATCATTTTTAAGACTTCTGTTTGTTGTGTAGCTGCTTGGGTACTCAATTGATTTTGTATTTCTTGCCCATTTCGCTTTACTTCTAGTTCTGCACGACGGATTTCAATTTGCTTGCTTCATCTTTCTCTCAAATATTCGACTAATTCACAACTTCCGCGGCGTACTTTCTTAAGCTTAACATCTGAGTTTTGCCCATCAGATTTTCTCTTGCATGTTTCGCCCATTCGTTCCAAGGCTGTCATCCTTATATCAATAGCATTTGCATTTTCCTTTTGCTTTTGAACTGATGCTACCTCAAGGAAGCTGTCCTCTTTTTGGCACAACTCTTCAATCAAACTTTCTTTCTCCGACAGTTCGTCGACATCAATGCCACTTGCCCTTTCTTCTTCGCGCATCTTCTGCTTGAACTTAGCTTTTAAAAGACTCCACCGGTCTCAAACACTTCTCTTGTCTTTTCAAGTAAAGACTGGCGCTTCCGTTTTAAGTTTTCGACAATAGAATCCCATACTAATCCCCGATTGGGGCTTCCCTTTTTGTATTGAAACAGATCACTAACCATCATTTCTCTCATCAACAATAAATCGTGCTCATCTGTCCACTCCATTTTCTTTGAATTGTCAGCCATATTAATTTTAGAGAGGTTTTAGAGGCAACCTTCAAACAAGTATTTCACGTCGGCGCGGAGGCCCGACGGCGTAAACAAAATACATACAACGCAGAACGGAAATAAAAACAACTTCCTCTTGCCGTTGCCGTCCAGTAAAACGTAGTTGCTTAAGCTCTCTAATGTTTCCCCCTAGCAGAAGCAGAAGCAGCTGCTAAATAGTCTCGAAATCTTAATACAACAACGATGGAGATGTAGGGAATGTTAAGTATTTTCATATTGAATACGGTATGTATAGTTTCAGAATTCTTTATTATTTACGGATTTTTATAATTCTGCCGTATGACGGTTGGTTGGTTACTTGATTCAACATTTCTTTCTATTTACGGTTGAGGATTTACACCTTAATTGTTGTGACAATGTTCTTTTTTTGCTTACATTTAAATGTAGTGAATCTTCTTTTTAATTTATGTTTGATTTTCTTGGGATCAGAGATAACCACAACATTTTGTATTGCGATTTTGTGGTAAAATCATTTATGTAGCTGGGAGAATCAGTTTCAAAGCAATGTAAAGTATAAACTATAGCAAAAGTAAGACATGAATGTCATAGCAATGAAAATGACTCATTACTGTCCATATCAATAGTAAAGGTTTTGACTCTGAAGATGACTACCGCTAAGGTTGTCGAAACGTCAATCAACAACAACAAAAACAGTCCTTCTTAGGACTATACCAACCTGGACGATCTACATTTACAAACATATAGTAAAGACACCAGTAGAAATGACTCATTTACTGTTCTTATCAGTTGTAAAGACATTAGCCAAAAATGTCTGGTCATGTCATTCACTCCTGAACATGGATACATACTTTAAAGGAGGGTGTTGCCCTAGAAATATATTCCTAATATAAACTTTCTATAGTTTGTACACAATTTCTCTAATGTTCAAATAATGTTTTGGAAAAAAAATAAGAAGAAGTTCCTTGCAAAATGAAATACTAACTGTTACACACAATGCCAGAGCTCTTCAAGATGCCCTGGGAATAAATGGCATAGCAGACTCTTTATTTTGGGTAGGAGGCACATATTCATATATTCATGTTCTGCCACATTAAGCTCCTTTGAAATCCATTGTTTTCAATGGATTAAGACATGCATATATAAATTTGTGCCCCCCACAATTAACAAGTATCCTGCGCCACTGCTGGGATTTTTTACATATTAGTAAATCTGGTAGTCGGACAGTTAAATGTGTCATTTTCACTTCTGTCAATGCTATGGCAAAAATATCCTGCTTTTTCTTCTTCAGGTTATTTATAACGTTTACTTTATATTGCCTTTATAGTTTGAACTATAATAAAGTATTTTAGAATCAATCATTAAATGATTAAATCAATCATTAAATAAATATTTTCTCCAAAGTAAAAAACAAACAAACATTGTCACAACAATTAAGATGTTAGTCCCCAAATCAAGTATGATTGAATCAAATAACAACTGCATGTCCATTTCAAACAACTACAATTCTTATTAATAGAAAGCATATTTTGTAAATTATATGAATGAATAGAAATAAATATAGAAAAGACTGTATTCATACTTATAAAGCAAAGCAAATCTTGTGGGCTTTTCAGCATTTCAAAAAAGGATGTTACATGATCATGGTTGCTGTAAGATCAGTATTTACTCTCATTATACAAGAAAATGACCCAACAACATTCATTTTAAGGAACTTCACAACTTCTGAATAGCTAGATATTGCAAACTAAACTCATAAATATACTTTGATAGTTCTATACAAGTTTCTTAATTAAAACTATCCAGTAAATAAATGACAGTTGAAAACTTGAAAATACAAATGTTTGAATATTGTCAATAATATATTTATACCTTTTATAAATATACAACTGTTGTTATTTGAACCTTTGTTAAAAGAAATCTACAATACAACTGTTTCTAATCATCTTTAATATAAAAAAACATACCTAAAATGAAAAGGGAAATTGATTTTCTTCTTCATTGAAAATGAGCTACAAATTCATTTCCTCTTCTTCTATCTACTTGTACGATTTCTCAAATACAGGAATATTTTAACTTCTAGTAAATAAAAGATAAATAGAAGTCCATATGCTTCAGTTTCAATATCTATAGTTTGTTTATAACCAAATGAAGATTGTTGTATATTATTGCAGTACATGTTCAAGTCCAAATGTTTTTAACATAATTTCTGTTGCTCATTCATAAAAATCTTTTGGTTTTTCGTACTCTCCCATTTTACTGTAAACTGAACCCAGATTGTTGTGTGTGGTCGCTATATTAACATGATCAGGTCCAAATGCTTTTGTTTGAAATTCTATCGCTCGTTCATAAAAATCTTTTGCTTTTTCGTACTCTCCCATATGATCGTAAATCAAACCCAGATTGTTGTACGTTGTCGCAATATTAACATGGTCAGGTCTAAATGCTTTCATTTGAATTTCTATCGCTCGTTCGTAAAAATCGTTTGCTTTTTCGTACTCTCCCATATCATTGTAAACTGAACCCAGATTGTTGTATGTTGTCGCAATATTAACATGGTCAGGTCCAAATGCTTTTATTTTAATTTCCATCGCTCGTTCATAAAAATCTCTTGCTTTTTCGTACTCTCCCATTTCACTGTAAACCAAACCCAGATTGTTGTACGTTGTCGCAATATTAACATGGTCAGGTCCAAATGATTTTATTTTAATTTCCATCGCTCGTTCATAAAAATCTTTTGCTTTTTCGTACTCTCCCATTTTACTGTAAATCAAACCCAGATTGTTGTACGTTGTCGAAATATCAACATGGTCAAGTCCAAATGTTTTTGCTTGAATTTGCATTGCTCGCTCGAGAAAATCTTTAGCATTTTCATATTCTCCATTCTTCCAAAGCAACCCACTCAGCTCGTTGTACGAATATGAAACATCAATATGATCATCACCTAACACCCTAGTTTGAATTTCTGTTATTTCATAAAATGCTTTAGTTGCAAGTTTATAGTTGAAAAATTTTTCCAAAACATCTACAAAATATTTGGCAATGTTCCAATTTCTTTCATCAAGTTTTTGTTTTGTAATGAAAAAAAAGGGTGATTCTACATCGATCAACTTATTTAGGAAATGCTGAAATGATAAATTTGTAATGAATTTAATTAGATGTGGAATTATTTTGATTTCATCTTCTCTTTCTTTAAAGAGATTTAGTGCCCAAGCAACTTGACAGGCAAGATCAGCTGCAGACTTTTTAGAATTATTTTCGTTTTGTTTACAGCCAAAGGTCTGCGACAAATAATTTTTGATGGCTTCGTGTACAGCTCTGTGCAGGCGGATGTCGTTGTGTTCTGTTTGAAGGAATAAAGAACAATGCTTTAATTGAAGACAGACATATTCTGCAGATATTTGTGGATCAATGCTTTCAATAAATCGTATTATAACATCTTGTGGTAAGGGATCGAAAGATATTATTGAGAAAAGTTTAAAAACATGTTTCAACAAGATGGATTCTTCGGCATTTTTTTGCACTGCTAACATAACAGTTTTCATTCCTAAGTAAGCTGTGTTTTTTTTTTGAAAATTGCCATCCATGTACTGTCGCTCTCGTTCATTCAACTTATCAAAATATTGCTCCCAGGTGAATGTCGGATTTATACTTTTTACACAACCTACGTAGGAAGCAGCATTTGCAAGGACCAGCGGTTGACGATCTAATTTGTCTGATAAATCCTTTAAAAAATTTTCATCTTCATTATGAATATCAGAAAAAACAGATAGAAGTTGTCGACATTCTTCATTGTTCATACCATGACTAACTGAAATGTGTTTATTTAGATTTCCATCTGGTAGTATAGCATCTGTATTTTGGACAGTTACTATAATTTGACCATTTTTCCAGCTATGATCACCAACTTGAGGTAATAATGGATAAATTTTATGAAGTTCAACCACGTTATCTACAACAATCCACCATAAATGCCAAGATTTCAGTTGTTGTATCAGCAATAATTGAAAATCTTTAATTTTGTCTTCGCTGCATTTTGCTTTTTTTAAAATATTTTCAATGACAGTTTTATCATTGTTTAATCGTTGATAAAGGTCAACATAAGTTTTCAAAAGAGAGTCGATATCTTTTCCTTCGAGTGTCATCATAAATGTCGTATTCTTTTCCCAGTCAAACGAGTTAAACATTTCTTCGCAAATTTGTCTGGCTAATTGAGATTTACCACTGCCAGGATTACCAGAAATATAGTAATATGTTAGTTCATTATTGTTAGTACTGCGCAAGTTATTGAGATCTGCTGTGATTTGATTAAGTAACTCTGTACGTTTTACCACATCGTGATTTGGTTTGCAAGGAAGTACTTGAAAAGAACTAAATATGTTTCGTTCAGTTTTTATTTTGATAGTTTCTGTCAGTGGAAATCCTAGATCTTGAAAAGAGGTTTCAACATGAGAAACTGTTTGGTAAAATTCAGCATCAGAGAATTTGACGCCTACATTATAAGCGATTTTGTTTCTTACATCACGAAGTTTGTCCACAGCAGCTCTAACTTTATCATCAATTTTTGTTCCAATTGAGTGGGTAAACAATATTGCTTTACATAATGCCTTACAATCCCACTTACTGATGTCACCATCTTTAAATTTTGACAGAACATGTTCATCACAAAATTTTTTCTCTGATATTTCAATAGAGTACAACTTCTGACCAGTGATAGAATTAATCCATTCTCCGTGATCTTTTCTGCAATGAGCGTTCCACTCTTGGATAAATAAATCAACAAGTTTCTTTTTCACGACATTTTTGAGTATTTTCTGCAGGTAGAAGTAATTACTTTCTTCTCTTGACTGCATCTAAGGGTCATAAAAATATTAATATCAGCATAAATTGTTTGTTTAATATGAATTTATAGACAACTAAAATTGTTGAAGATCAAACATAGCTACGTAATTTTACAGTTTTACTTGTACGTGTAAATGAATATCGAGGATGGCAGCTGAAAACAACGCAATTGGACATTTTAGTTTTCCTGCATTTAGGCATTTGGCTACATTTTGGTAGTGGCGTCGCCAGGATTTTGCGAGTGGGTGGGCACGAAATTTGTACCACGTCAGTCGATAGCGAAATGGCCCTAAAAATTGCTTCTACACTGGGAGACTTTTGCAATATTTATCACAACATGAATAGTTTCAAATTTCTAACTTCTCAGTTTACCCTTGGCGGATTTGTACATTCTTCGTGTTATAACGTTACGTAGATTGATTGTTGATTTTAATGAAATGTCTTCATATTATAATACTCCCAGAATTGCAGTATTGTCACGAGCCTTACTCTTAGTCATTCCTATATTTGTATTTTTGTGTCTACAAGTTTGAGTTTACGAGTATACTTGTCCACAATCTCATACAAGTTCTATGATATGGTGTAATGTCGTTCATGACATCCATCACAATATTACCTGTTCTTTCTTGCTCACTAGAGACTTGAATTATTGTTTTGTTTTTTTTTTTCATTTTTAAGGAATTGAAATCTTCACCACTCGGCTAACAACCCAGAAAGGGTAAATGGAACGCAAACTAGTCTGGACAGCTAATAGAATGCTTTCCTTTACAGTAAAGTTGTGCGAATTCTGTAAGAGCTACATTAATGCCATGTGCTTCTTTTACAATTTCGAATGATGCATATGAAGACTCTTATATAAAATTCAAATGGGGGGCACTTGGGGGGTACAGCCAATTTTTAGGGGGCTCGTGCTTCCTTCCCATACCTCCCTTTGGCGACGCCACTGCATGTTGGAATGAAAATGGAGGTATTGAGTTATATTATCACTTAGGAAGGTGTCTAAATGACACACAAAGTTTGTGCAGGCAGTCTTCTTGAATACAATGACTACTTAGTCAGCTGTACAATAGAAATATATATGAAGCAGAGTGTTGTGTAATTTAGCCTTTGCATTTAAAAAAAGTCCTATTTCTTATAAAAGATCTGATTGCCTTCTAGAATTAATTGTAAAAACAACCATGAGAAATTTTTCAAGTATTCTTCCTTTCAATAAAAAAATCATGTAAAATATAGAACATGTCATGTAAGTAACGTTTTATAGAAAAAACAACAAAAAATTCATTCTACTTGTGTAGAATGCAAATTGAGACTGTGTCCAAGCGAACATTTAAAAAACAAATTAATTACCCCCTTTAAAATATTGTGGTAAATTTTGGTATTACCATTTTATAGTATTCTGTATGTAATCGACATGCAAATTTCATGTAAATGCCATAAAATGTACAATTTACTTATTGTGTTTCTTTGCATGCATTTAAAGTTTCTTAAAACATGCCTAACACATGAAATGTTTTGGAAAATTTAGAAAATGACAAAAAAGCTCAAAAAAT